TCAACTATTGATGATTCTTAGAACTGGCATAAAAGACTAGGACACCTAAGCTTTGACAGTATGAGAAAGATGATGCAAAGTGAAATGGTACTAGGCTTGCCTGAGTTCTCAGAAAAAAAGGAATTGTGTGAAAGATGTGTATCTGGAAAGCTTCACAGAGAACCCTTTAATAAGGAGAAAGGATGGAGAGTAAGCTACCCACTTGAGCTTGTACACACTAACCTATGTGGCCCTATGCAAAATGAGTCGGTTGGTGAAAAAAAATACTTTGTAACATTCATTGATGATTTTTCAAGAATGTGTTGGGTGTACTTTCTTAGAAACCAATAAGATGTGTTCAATGTTTTCAAAAAATTCAAGGCATTTGTCGAATTGCAAAGTGGTTTCAGTTTAAAAAGGCTAAAAAGTGATAGAGGTGGGGGGTATACATCTTATGAGTTTCTAAATTATTGCATTGACATAGGAATGGAGAAGCATTTGATAATTGCCTACTCTCCTTAGCAAAATAATGTTGTTGAAAGAAGGAATAGAACAATTGGAGAAATGGCTAGGTCCATGATGGTTGAAAAAAGGATTCCTATTGTTTTTTGGGGAAAAGCTATTGCAAATGAAGTGTATTTGCAAAATAAAAGTTTTAGGCAGGAAACCAGGCATAAAACACCTGAAAGTGTAGACTAAAGTTTGATGAAAAGGCTAACAAGGTCATATTTATGGGATATGTTAGTTGTGAGAAGGGTTATAAAATATATGGTTTACAAACAAAGAAAATCATCACCTCTAGAAGTGTTGTATTTGATGAGCTTGGAACTAGGAATGTAACCAAGTTGGGTCATTCTCACTACCTACCAACCTTGTAGTGAAATCCTTGAAAATGAAGTGCAAGAGGGATCAATGGATAAACCTCTTGTTAGTGATTCTTATAACCTGCAGCTAAGTTCAAATTCTGGGAGTTCAATAGAAAGTAACTTAGAGAACTCAAGTTAAAACTCAACTCTAAGTTCAACTCCTACGAAGTTGAGAAGTTTAGAGGAAATATATGCAAGATGCCATATGTGCATCATTAAGCCTGAGAATTATCAAGAAGCTGCAGAAGATCAAGCCTGGCAAGAGGCTATGAACTCTGAGATTGAAATGATTTAGCAGCACAAAAGGAATGGAAATTGTTTCCACTAGATGTTAAATCAGCATTCCTGAATGGGGTACTTGAAGAAAAAGTCTACACTAAGCAACATGAGAGCTTTGTGGTGAGAAATGCAAGTAACAAAGCATATAAGCTAAGGAAAGCATTGTATGGCTTAAAGCAGGCTCCTAGAGCTTGGTACAGTGAGATTAACAATTACTTGATCAGTTGTAAGTTCAAGAAGAGAACCAGTGAAGCTACCCTATATACAACATCTGTAGAAGAAAAAGGATTGATCATTGTATCGATATATGTTGATGTTATTGTGTACACATGAAGTAGTGAGAAACTGATAAGTGAATTTAAAAGGGAAATGATGCAAATATATGAAATATCTGATCTTGGTTTACTTCACCATTTCTTGGGAATGGGATTTTTGAAAACTGAGAAAGGAGTGTTCATTCATCAAAGCAAGTATGCAAAGTCACTGCTTGTGAAGTTTGGACTCAAAGACTACAAACTTGTGTCCATTCCTCTACCCACTGGAGAAAAACTCAAGAAAATGGATGGAAGTGAACTAGCTGATAAAGGTCTCTACAAGAAAATTATTGGGAGCCTCCTTTATTTGATAGCAACTAGGCTAGATCTAATGGATGCAAGCTAGTTTGTTGTCTAGATTCATGAATTCCCCTACCAAAAAACATCTGGGAGGAAAGAAAGGTTCTAAGGTACGTACAAGAAACTCTAAGCTATGACATTGAGTATATGAAAGACAAGGCATCTATTCTTGTTGTCGTTGTTTTTTTTTTTTTTTTTTTTTTTTTATTTTTTATTTTTTTTTATGCTAACTAGGGCTAGAAATGAAGATGATAGCAGGAGTACCTCTGGCTATGCATTTAACTTTGGAAGTTGCGTGTTTTCATGGGCTTCAGGGAAGCAAGACACAGTGGCTCTATCCACTGTTGAAGCTGAGTATGTCTCAACAGCAGAAGCAACATCTCAATCCATTTGGTTGAGATTTGTCCTTGATGATTTTGGGGAAATGCAAATAGATCCAACTCCCTTATTCTGTGACAATATGTCTGCACTATCCATGGTCAAGAACCCTGTGTTTCACCAGAAAACGAGACAGATAAACATAAAGTACCATTTCCTAAAGGAAGCTCTTCAGGACAATGTGATTGATGTGAAGTTTTGTAGGAGTGAAGAACAGTTGGCAGCTCATATTCACAAAAGCTTTGCCCAGGAGTGAACTGTGAATGATCCTAGAAGTAGGATCTCACTAGCCCTCTATATGCTAGGGTTTTTGAGTGAATCATATAGAAGAATCACTAGGGAAGAAAAAATAAAAATAAAAATAAAAAAATAAAAAATAAAACACCTCTGCCTCTCTGTCTAAGTTTTCTGCAACATTTTCAATTTTCAAAGCTTCAATCTTTAGCTTTAATCAAACAAGAAAAGCGTATGGCTAGGTACCATTTCAACATATGTTTGAAAGCTGGACTGATACTTACTATAGGTATTTGATTCTGGGAAAATAGCCCTATTATTGTAATGTTTGTTCGTGACTCTACTGCGGATTATTTTTCTCCGAACCTAATATTCGAAGTTTCACTTTGATGTTCACAATAGGAGCTATATTGTGTTTGGTGTACTGTTTCAAATTTGTTTAGCATAAGTACTAGTAAGCAAGAAATCTTGTTGCCGATGAATCGATTTTTTCCCGTGTCGAAAATTGCTCTTATTTGGACAGATTTGGACAGAGGCCTAACGGGGCCTTTCGTGATTTGGGATTAGAGTAGATAGGAAATTTGGAAGGTTAAAGCGATATGTTTGGGTGTTTGTCTTCTGTTCATTTGCATGATTAAAGATGGTTTCTACTTTCTATAAGCAACAAAAGGAAGAATATTACAAGTTATATCCCAAAATAAATAGTGTACATTTTTGTGAAGTAGAATTGGTGAATGAGAAAGGAATGCCGAAAAATTAGAACGAAAACTAATTACTGAAGTTATAATTAAAAAAAAAACAAGTGAATAGGAATTGAAAACGAAAAGTTATCAAAAATAAAAATAAAAAATAAAGAATTGAAAACGAAATGGTTATGAAACGAACTCTTAGAAGAGTGAACAAGAAAGTATGGTGAAGAACAATATGTACGTGTGGACTGCAATCGCAGCTGGCAAGGTGGAAACCTATCTCAAAGTAAAAAAATTGTAATATATACTAGCGTAATGGTTCCTTAACTCAAAATCCAATGATCTCTCAACTTTAGCTAAATTAGCGTAATGGTTCCTTAACTCAAAATCCATTAGCATTAGTTCCTCAACTCATCAAAATGTACAGCTATAGTTTTTTTCGTCAACTCTATTAGAACTTTCGTCAAAATGAGTCACGTGCCATGCACGTAAGGCTAAATCAAGGGGTAAATATGGAAAATCAAATAAGAAAAATTATATCAATGGTCCCTCAACTTTATTTAAACTGGATAAATAGTCCCTCAACTTTAACCCAATTGGAGCAATGGTCCTCAACTTTAACTCAATTGTAGCTATGGTCTTTCCGACATAACTCATTTTAACAAAATTCTAACAGAATTGACAAAAATGACCATAGCTATACGTTTTGATGAGTTGAGGGACCAATGGTAATGAATTTTTAGTTGAAGGACCATTGCTCCAATTTGATTAAAATTAATGATCATTTCTACAATTTACTCGGTAACAGAAACACAAGACACGTGTTGCATCTCCTTTTTGGAGGGTGAGCACATTTCCTCACAAATAATGTATCTTGACCATACAAATTTCATAATCACAAACATTTAATTTTTTAATCTTCATTTGAAGATCACCCCTAAAAAAACATTTCAATCAAAAAATTATTTAGGCATGAACGGTCCATTTATTCATAATGAACTGGACATTTATTTGATATGTTGGGATGTTTAAACGATCTTGAATTCGAGTGATTTCTTGTAGAGTGATCTTCAAATAAAGATTAATAAATTGAACGGTTTAGACATTGATTCATTTGGTCCATATATGGTATTCGTATACAGAGAATATGTGCATCCCCATATACAGGGACGTAAGTATTATCCAATACAAGATTAGAGATAAATCAATGTTGTTACAGGACTTGCATTAAAATAAAATATAAAATTTTATATATGCTATTAAAAATTAGAAGTGAGAACAGATTTGTAAATGTACAACACAAATTGAGTACATTTCGATTTGGTTAAATGACCATCGATAGAAGCATTGTTCCACAAGAAAGTAAAAATCAGACTTTTGAAAAACCAAAAAACTAAAATCAAACTTTTGCAATTGACGACAAACCCTTTACATTTCCAACAGTGGTAAGGACTACTATACTGTTAGAATGTAATTTTTTGTGATTAATTTAATGGAGAATTTAACAACCTGAGAATATATCTCAGAAACGATCACAAGAAAATTAGAGGGAATTTCGCAGATATTTTTGGAATGCTTATTCGATTGATTGTCTCACAAGGTGTGAGGAATATTACCGTTATAAAGTGGAGCTTTCCCTCTGATGCATCATTACACAAACTGATCTCAGCCGTTCATCCGTAACTAAATGAATACAATGATTACACTTGTCATAAGCTATGACTCACTACATCTAATCTAAGATCTAATGGCTCATATTAATCATTACATAAATCAGCAAATACATTACTAGGAACGAAGTGAACGCGCAACTGGGAGGTTGCTTGGATTGCACGAATCCTAACTAAAGTAGTAATCCAATCCGACTACCGAGTTGCTTGCCGCCTTTCCTATTAGGTCAGGAACCCATAAATTGCAACCCTCCTCACATTTAGAAGTTTAGAAACTTGCCTCTATCTGTGTCTCCGATCAAAACGCTCTCTAGTTTGTCAAAACTGATGCTTTTTCCTTAACTTTGTCGCAGATTTCTTTGGCTTTAGTCTACTTCTTCAAGTACTCATAATTCCATCAGTTCCTAGAGCCCCATCATGGAAAAGTTCGAGATGATTAAGAAACTCGGGAGTGGTGCTTTCGGGACGGTATTTGCTGCGCGGCACAAACAGACGGGCGAAGTTGTTGCAATCAAGAAATTGAACGGGAGGTGCAGTTCGTTGCAGCAGTGTCTTAGCCTACCAGAAGTTCAGTCCCTTTCCAAACTCAACCATCCCAACATTGTCCAGTTGAAGGGTGTGGTCGCCGAATACGAGTCTGCTTTCTTTGTGTTTGAGTACATGCACAGCAGTCTGCTTGATCTTATTGAGAAAAAAAGGCAAACCGGATTCACGGAGGACGAAATTAGAAACATCTGCTATCAGATGTTTCAGGGCTTGGCCTACATGCACAAAACTGGCTATTTCCACCGCGATATGAAACCGGAGAATGTCTTGGTTAAGGAGGGTGCCGTCAAGATTGGGGATTTGGGTTCTACTAAGGAGATTAATTCGCCTCCTCCCTATACAGACTACATCGGCACTATTTGGTATCGAGCTCCCGAGGTGTTGCTTCGGTCAGACCGCTATTGTCCTAAGGTCGATATGTGGGCAATGGGTGCTATCATGGCAGAGCTGTTCTCACTCCAGCCTTTATTTCCTGGTCGAAGTGATGCTGACCAGATATTCAAGATTTGCAGCGTGATTGGTAGGCCAACTTTGGAGTCTTGGCACAACGGGTTTCTTCTTGCACACAAGATGAACTATCAGTTTCCACAAATTGACGGGGTTGGTCTATCTGCGATGATTCCTTCCGCAAGTGAATCAGCTATCAAGCTGATTTCTTCCCTTTGTTCTTGGGACCCATCCACGAGGCCTACTGCTGCTGATGCACTCAAGCATCCTTTCTTCATTGGCAACCACAGGATTCCACGCGCCATCCCTTTGAGACAAAGCAATATGCAGCCTGCGTCGAATTCTTCTCTTATTTTCGTGTAGATTCGACACGAGTAATATGGGTAGTTAACTGCTTTTGATTAATTAGCTTTCAAAAAGCTACAGATTTTATTTTAGCGGGTGTAGTTTATTTTAATGCTCAAAGTAGAGCGGCAGCAAGCCAACGACTAATGTCTGTTGTATGAAACAAGTTTTGTAAGCCCCTCATTAATCTGCAATATATAGCTACAGATTCCATTTTATTGAGTCACATTGTTTTGTTTGGTTCAAATTTCATTATTATCCGAAACATATGACAGACATCGAAACTAGTAAGTTGTTCCATTGAAAATCCTGGCAAAACTGTAGATTGATCCATTCCTTCAAAACCCGATCATGGAACAGACACTTGAAATCATAGTAGAGTTCGACAGTCTCTGAGAGCCTCAGATCTTGGGACGTTCTCCATCGCATGCCTAAATTGAATACAAGTACCGCAGAGAGTTTGAATATAAATCTCCATGTTTACAAAACAAAAATAGGAGAAACGTCGAAGGCATGCCATGACAACCCAAATTCATAAGAAAAGTCTTCTTATTCCTTTTCTTTCCTGTAATGAGCATACCGTGACAAAAAAAAAAAAAAAAAAAAAAAAAAAAAAAAAATGTAAATCACTATTTTAAGAAGAACAAAAAAAAAAAAAAACAAATCCTTTAACTCCACACATCCGTCCAACTTCTACATGTGAAGAAAGCAACAACACAGAGAACTTGATATCACCACACGTATAGGAGTTTTCGCCCAACTCTCTTGACCGAACGATATCCTAATAAGCAGTAACAACTGGACATAGCCCTTTGATGAAAATCACAAAACAAAAAAAAAAGAAGTAAATTATGCTTAAAGATAAAAGCTTTTAAATTGTATTTATTCTTGAATGCCTTTGTTTTCTCAGCAACCAAACAGATAAAACCCAATTAGACTCACTAAATCAAAAAGGCAAAAACGTTGAAGGTCTCAGAAACCCAGAGCACTACATTGAAAAACAACTTAAATTTGAAAGTGCTCCCAACATTGTCAGCACTAGTGATAGCACCCGATTCCGAGAAGCGATTGAATTGATCTCTGAGTGGCGTATATGGCAGTAGATCATCTGCAATTGTATTTGTAGGCCCGCAGACACACATTGACTTGAACGTAATGTAGTTCCTGATACCTAATTGTTAATGTTAGCTGGTGTAGATACAAAGAAAGCTGATGTGCTGAAAAGGACATGGAAAATTTAGAATAATCAGTTAATATATGCAACGTCCAAAAATATTACAATCGATAAAGTTGAAATACTTACTGTAGAAGTTGCAAAATTTAGGTAATTAAATTTACATCATAATTTATATTTATCACAAAAGCTAAGGCTGGAAACCAATTCATTGGAAACTGCTCACGTGGAAGGTGAGAACGCATCATAGTAATTGTTTTCCATTTTTGGTAGTTACTTCTGAAAGCTCCAGGGATTTACTAGTTCATTGGAAACTGCTTACGGAAAAGATGAGAACATATCTTAATTTCTATAATCTATTGGACACTTGCTTAGAGAAGACTTGGTTTAGGGTCCCCCAACCCCAAGGGCCAGAAGTACGTAGCCTGAAAATCTTCTTGCTGGGCCTCTGGCCCCTATTAACCAGAGAATGCACATGGCGCAGGTCAGCAGATGTCCGGGAAATCACAACTGTAGTTGCATAAATTTGATCCTCTTCCTTTCTCGACTGCTCCATAGTCCATGCAACAATAGTATATTGATCATTCACACTTAAATACTTTAAACAAATAAATTACTCATACATCCATACATTTCAGAACTTGGAAGTGAAAAATCTCACATCCATTGACTGGAGGGACATTGTCTAAATACAATAAATGTGAGCCGGTGCGCGTAAATACGATAGGAAACTGATATAAACAACACTTGTAAAGAACATATAGGATATGTAATCATGAAAAAGATTACAAAAGAGCTCATCAATTAATGGAGCAAGACTATCACGAAAAAGATTACAAGGGAATAAATTAGTTGAAAGTAAATTTTCAGAGATGAAATATTTAGGAATGAAATTGACATCAATACTTGCACTTAACCGCAAAAGCTCTTAAGCTAAAGCTCGGCTGGTACATTTGTTGAAACCTTCATCACTTGCTTGCGCAACACGGGCGTCGTAGCTCAGCTGGTAGATTGAAACCTTCACCATTTGCCGGCTTCGAAAGCCTTTGAGGGACCATCCTTGCAATTCGATTCAAATTGCACAGAGCAAATCAAAATCACCGGTTAACTCCAAATTAATCGAAAGCTACTAAATTTGAAACTTAAGAACGTGTTTTATAGTATCTGAATCGTTGACAGCTAATGACCCAAGTAAAAAACGTGTTTAAAAGATCCTGACCGTTTGAGAAATCCTTGTGCCCAAAGTAATAAAATCAGATTTTCCAATTGATGAAAACGCCCTTCCCTTTTCCTACAGCAGCAAGGACTAAAAAGCGAAGTGAATTGGCAACTGGGAGGTTGCTTGGATCGCAAGAATCCAAGTATAAATAGTTGACTAGAAATCCAATTAAACCAAGTGAGTGTTTCTTTCCTCATTCTATCAGGAGACGATGTAATGGAATGAATTAATGAATCTATAAATTGGAACCCTAATTTCCATTCTCTAATTTTCCAAATCTCAGATCATTAGAAACTTGCCTCTTTCTCTCTCGTTGGCCAGTTGAAGGATGTCATCACCGAATGCGATTCTGCGTTCCTTGTCTTTGAGTATATGCAGAGCAGTCTGCTTGATATTACGAAGAAAAGGCAAACCAAATTCACCGGGGATGAAGTTAGAAGCATCTGCTTTCAGATGTTTCGTGGCCTGGCGCTTATATGCACAGAAACGGCTATTTCCTCCGTGATTTGAAGCCTGCTAACTTGTTGGTTAATGATGGTGCGCGCGTGGTCATGATTGCGGATTTGGGTTCGGCTAAGGAGATTGATTCACCTCCTCCCTATACAGACTACGTCACTACTCGTCCATATCTTGCTCCTGAGGTGTTGCTTCAGTCAGGCTTGTATGGTCCTAAGGTCGATATGTGGGCAATGGGAGCCATCATGGCAGAGCTGTTTTCATTCCGGCCTCTATTTCTCGGTTAAAGTCCTGACGATCAGATGTTCAAGATTTGCAGTGTCATTGGCAGTCCCGCTTGGGAGTCATGGCCAGAGGGACAGCTTCTTGCCCAAAACTTGAACTATCAGTTTCCACAACTTCACGGCGTTGGTCTATCTGCGATGATTCCTTCTGCAAGCAGATCTGCCATCCAGCTGATTTCTTCCCTTTGTTCTTGGGACCCTTCGGCAAGGCCTACTGCTGCTGAAGTACTCCGACATCCCTTCTTCATTGGCAACTACAAGATTCCACGCGCCATCCCTTTGAGACAAAGCAATATTCTACCTGCATCAAATTCTATTATTTTCGTTTGGCTTTGACACAAGTGATTTGGTAGTTAATTGCTTTTGATTCATTAGGTTTCAAAAACTAAGTACAAATTTTACTTTAACAAGTGTAGTTTATTTGAATGCTCAACGTAGAGTGGCAGAAAGCCAACAACAACTAATGTATGACACGATTTTGCAATATATAGCTACAAAATTTATAAAAATTGAGTCACGTTGTTTTGTTTGGTTCAAATTTCATTGTTTGAAACATGTGCCAAATTATACCTGTTAAAGAGTACAAAAATTTCAAGCTCAGTTCATAACAGTCAAACCAGCAGAGTGTGAGAAAGGTCCGAAGCTTCTTCCAAGAGGATCACACCAATCTTCTTTCTTGATTATTCATTCAGAGACCGAACATTGAACAGACGCTTGTAATCAAATTAGAGTTCGACAACCCCTGAGAGCCACGGATCTTGAGAGGTTCTTCGTTGCAATTGCATGTCTGCATTGAATGTAATCATGTTATGACATCTATTACAAGCACAAGGATTGAGGTGTTTATTTCAGATGTCTGCATTGAATAGAAACCTATATGTTTACGAAACAAAAATAGGAGAAAGGGCATACCATTCACAGGCATACGATGACAGCCCAAATTTATAAGAAATGCACAAGCTTCTCCACAGTATTCCTTGTCCTTTACTTTCATGTAACGAACAGACAGTGACAAACAATAAGTAATCACCGTTTTAAGAAGAACAAAAAACAAATTCCTTTTACTCAACACATCAGTCCAACTTCTACATGTCAAGAAAGCAAGAGAACACATAGAACCAGGAAAAGATTTCAAAACTAAATTAGTAGGCTAATTCTAAGACTTCAATTAATCGCAGCCCTGAAGAACCAAATGTGCTTTATAAGCTATTTCCCAACTCCTTTGACCAAACGATGATCCGAATAAGAAGTAAAAATTGAATACAGCCCCTTGATGAAACTTCGGGAAAAAAAAAATGCAGCAAGTTATGCTTAAAGAGAAAAGCTTTTCATTTGAATGAATTCATGAATGCCTTTGTTTTCTCAGCAACCAAACAGATAAAACCCAATTAAACTTGCTAAACCAAACAGATGAAGAAGTTGTCTAAAGACTCATTAAAGAAACTCCGAACAGAAAGTTAACAGTAGCCAAAACTCAATCACAAAGTTCTAAGAACCACAGAAACTAACAGATTAAAATGAAGGGTTTCAGAAACCCAGACCATTACATTGAAAAACAAACCTTGAACTTGGAAAGTACTTCCAGCATTGTCAGCACTATTGATACCACCCGATTCCAAGAAGCAATTTACTTGATCTCTGAGTTTCATATTTGGCAGTGGATCGTCTGCCAATGTATTTCTAGGCCCACAGACACACACTGAATAGAACATAATTTAGTTCCTGATACGTGACTATAAATCCGAGTGTTGTAAATACATAGGCAACTGATATGATAAACAACACCGGTATGGAAAATCAAGGATAAACAGTTAAAATGATGTACAGAAGACCTCATCAAAGGAGCAAGACGAGTGTTAACATTGGAAATCTTACTTTATAAGTTGAAAAGTTTAGGCAGTGAAATTTACATCATAACTAAAGTTATCTGAAAAACTCTTAAAGCAACACTTGCTTGTTGACACAGCATCTTTCATCACTCCCTTTCAATGGGCTATGCTGCAAGGGAGTGATGAAGGCTGTTGTTAACTAAAACTTATCACAGAAGCTCTTAAAGAAACACTTGCAAGGGAGTGATCCACCTGAGCTACACTGCAAGGGAGTGATCCGCCTGAGATACGCTTCAATAAGTACCCAATTCAAATAAAGTGGATCACTTATCCTTTTACAACAGAAACATCAATTTACAAACTACAGACATACGAATGCAACCACCATTGACTTGAGGGACACAATGGAAGGGTTTTTATCAAAATGGTCTATGATCAGATGACAAATGGCTGCAGAATTTTACTGTGTTAATTAGGCTTTAAATGAATACTCCTAAACGTTTTTCCTCACTACAAATCTAGACCGTTGAAAGCTATTGATGCAAGTAACTAAGCAAACACAGGGTTTTTATCAAAATGGTCTATGATCATTTTAGTCACTCATTTTGACAATCGGTCAATGTTTCCAACACACTTCCCATGAAAAGCATTAGGCAAATATTAGTTTAGCCAACAGTCAATAAAACTTTACTATTTAGCGATATATCAATGATATATTTTTGTTTTGGACTTAAATTAATGAATATTTATATTAATTTAGCATAAGTCAACGATGAATGATACATGAGCTTTAAATCATTATAAATAATTAGAATTTTACTCTTGTATTATTCTCTCTCTCTCTCTCTATATAAATGTCACATGAACTTTTAAGTCATTATAATATTGTTGGAAAAACAGAACCAACAATGTTAGTGTAGGTCCTCTTTTTGTTTAAATGCATTCTTTTGAACAGATGAACCAAATTGCAAAATTCAACCGAAAAACATTGAATTAAAGCTTGAAAATGAAATAAGT